AATGGCCGAATATCTATAAATATTTAAAACAACTATGCCAAAATCCTTGCTCCTACAATCTCAAGCAAAACGCTTCGGCGTCGAGGATTATCCAACTGGTCACTAGAAGTGCCAAACAGGAAATTCATTCCCTCCAAATGACAGTCGAAAAGCCTGGACGAGCAGTGTACCAGGAATGCCTTCCGAAACCGCAACCTTTCCTTTGAGAAAGCCATAAAGCTCCATCAGTAGCCATAAGTAACACCACGGAGTCACATTAATAGGCTCCTGACTCGCTCTGACTATCACAATAAAATCTCACCTAAGATCCACGTCTAAACCTTAGATGCGTATAATATAGGGCAAGTATGTTTAAAATTCGACCCGGACCGGTCCATGTACTGCTACTTCGACGGTTTGAAACATTATCTAGTGAATTGGTTTTGGTGAAAACAAAGCTCTAAAACTAAATTACTTTGCAAAGGTAAAATGGATTTGACTCTAGTTGAGAAAGCTTCACCCGGGTGTTGCTCCCCCTAGCTAACAATTACGACTTGAAGACTCGAACGACCGTGTGTGGTTAGGGGGTCATAAACCGCAGGGAAGTCTAACAAGCAGCCAAAGCTACCCTCTTAGACTCTAGGTTGAGGAATGGGATACGATCCAAGCCACGAATGTGACCCTCTCAACCTATCGACTAAGGAATGGTTAGACCTCACCCTCAAATTGGAGTTCGGACGGCCACCCACAACCAAACCCTAAGTGCTTAATATGAAATAGGAGGTTTTCCCTTTAACTAACCTAGAATAGGAGGCATAGAATGCCCAAGGAAACCCATCTCTAATAGAGCCTCTTGGGTGAAGGAGGGTTCTCTCTAAACTAGCTTAGGAGGCACATTTTGGAGACTTTAATGGTACCCGACATCATATTCAAACTTAAGTGATATGCATGTCCCAATTCTCAAATTTAAGTGGTACTCGAGGTATTTTACCCTAAAAAGCTGCCTCCCTCCGCCTCTATTCTTCGACCCTCTATAAATCCAAAAGCCGCCCCGCCACCGATGAAGATGATTCATCTCTGTCTCTGTTCTACGAGCCCTCTCGCCTCTGTTCTTCAACTGGCCTAGCTCCACCGCAACCCGACTAGCCTAGCGCCGCAACCCGCCACACATATCTCTCTCTCTCTCTTACTGGATTTGGCAATGACGGAGGAAGAAGGGAAGAATAGTCGATGTCGAGAGGGAGGGAGGGTGCGAGAGGCGGATGGAAGGGAAGGATATGAAGCAGATTCCGAACCAGGTTGGAGGAAGAAGAAGTTCGATTTCTGGTTCGGAGGTTTGGATTTCTGGGGATCATGGTTTGAGTACTCTCTTATTTTGGGTCGAAGCTCGAACCCCTTCCAATCACCGACGAGGAGGAGGAGGGAAGCTCGTACCTCTTCCAAATCGTTGATGGAAACCTGTATAGCCAAAACCATCTCCAACTCCGTCATATTCAAATTGCTCTTCGTCGCTGCAGATCTAATTTCAACGCCGCCGTTTCTGAGTTTCATTGGATCTGCAGCTCTAATTAATCTACATTTCTAGGGTTCACATCGAGGCTTCAACGGGAGCAACGACGGAGGTGAAGTGCAGATTTCCTCCTTCAGGTTGCGGCGGCGAGGTTTCAACGGGAGCAGCGATTTTCAGGTTGCTTCGGTCAAGGCTTCAACTGGAGCAATGGGAGCAGCGGTTTTCAGGTTGCGGCAGCGGAGGTTGGGAGACGGGAGAGGGAAGGGTAAATCCCCATTTTTTGTAATTTTTTATTTTCTTTTCTTATATGGAAAATAATTATAAATTCCACTTCAGATGCCACATCAGCACTAACTAGACTTTCTGTTAAAAACTAACGGTCAACGCCGGTAAACTCTAACGAAAAACTAGTTTAAGGCACAAATGTCTTATTGAATATTTTAGGACACAAATGACACATTCTTTATGGTTTGGGTTTTCTAGTGGTATTTTGCCTTTAAAAAATGTTGCAACGAGAGTGATTTTAGGTGGGACACAATAGTCATTTTCAATTAAAACTAACCTAAAATATAAATAATTTTTTTAGCCAACCAGATCGCTCCATGTGTCAAGCTCTCTACTTTAACTTCAATTTTAATTATTTTTGCATATAAAAATTTATTTAACGAGATCTATAAAATGATACCCACTTTTTATATTTTGAAGAAAAAAATTCTATGTCAATAATGACATACTCATACAGAAGTGATTCATCGTTTACCATAAATATTACATCAACAAGTTTTTTTAATCCGTTGTAGTTCAGTTAATTTGGCTAATAGGTTTGATTTTTTTACAAATGACTAATTGGTTTGGTTTAAGTGGATTGATTTGGTCATACAATCTACTAACAAGGCTAACCAATCTACTAAATTTTCTTCAGAGCCGGCCCATGATATTTAGAGGTCCTGTTCGAAAATTTAAAATGTGACCCTAAAGATTTTTACGTAAATTTATTAAGACTAAAAATTATTAAATAATAATAAAATACATAAGTTCATAAGGTGATTGCAAAAGGAACAAAATCATCTATCATTGTTTAAAAAGTAACAGCCATCTAGTATTATTTAAAATAAAATCCTCTATTAGCTCTTCCATCTTTGCATCATCCAAATAGCTATTCTCAATTGCTAACATAGCTAACTCGTTAAGGCTCTCTTATGTTATTGTAGAGCACATATAAGACTTGAACAACTTCAATTTCAAAAAGCTTCTTTCTATTGTAGCAACAATCACATGAATAATTCTCAAAAAAAAAACAATCACATGAATAGTTAATAAGTCAATGCAAATTATAACTGATTTAGTTATTTTTTCCCTTTATACTATTGGTGGTTGTACCTAACTATTTTGGTTAACGTTTAATAAATCAATGCGAATTATTTAATTAATTAACCACTATTGCCTTGGTAGTACAAACATATTAATTGACGAAAATAAAGAAAATTAAAGCAACAAATTTAATAATAATAATAATGAGGTATCATCAATTACCTCTTTTGTTCTATTTAGAAAACACGTGACAAAGAATAAGTTATGTTATATTGTTTGAAAATATTTTAATAAGAAAACAAGTATTCGCCTCATGTGATTCGTCCGTTCCTTTAACCTTCGGAATTAAAATTTTTATTATTTTCTTAGACCCATAATTAAAACCTAATTCATAAATTTTGTATCATTTTAAATTTATAACTGAAATCTAATAATTCGTAATAGTAATTAATCATATATATAGTGGATGTCCAGAGGCCCCAAAATTTAGAGGCACTGTGCCGGAGGGCCGACTGGCACACCCTTAGGGCCGGGCCGGATTTTCTTTACGGCAAATGGGCATTGGCGCAGATGTTTGGGATTCCTATTGGCATGTACAATAGCGACAAACTACATGGGTTGGTAATACCAACTCAAATTGATTCATCTTGACTTAATGTACTAAATAGACTTAAATCAGTCGAATCATGTGAATTTTATTATAATACGTCAATGTGATATGGAATGGAGAGGTTTAAAGGGGAAGAACAAATAATTAAGTTGCACAAATAATAACTCATATATAAGGTAAATAGAATGCTTAACGGTTATGGACATATAGACTATACGTTTCTCTCATACCACATTTCCAAATTGTTTGTTCTTATGATTTCAATATGAAGTACTAATGAATGATGATCAAGGTAAATCGCAATGAAAATACTAATGATGTTAAAATAAAAATTACGAGGAGGTGGGTTTAATTTTGTCAATTTAAAAAATGAAATATTTAGAGCTTATTTATTACTTATATTTACAAGTGGATTAGCGTTTAGAAATCGATATTAGATCATTTATGATATTATTTGATTTTATGATATATTGCCAATGCCGTATCTATTTCTCTTTCTGCAAATGATCACACGAAACATAAATTGTTAACTTTCACTCATCAAATTCAGGATCTTAAGCCAGTAGTTAATTAAGTACAAACCAACTAGTTTTATAGCGGTTCACCACCAATTTTACAATGGCCAACAGTTTAACCATGAACCATCATATTTTCCATGAGCACTTCTACTATGCTATATAGCATTGGCAGGGGCGGACCCACGGGTGTTTAGGGGTGTCCCCGGACACCCCTAAATTTTGGGAAAACGATTATCCAACCCCTGGTGGTAATTTACGTATTGACAAAAAAATTATAATTGATAGTCGGGGATACCCTTAAATCTAAAAAAGTGATTATCCTACTCTCATCTTTTAGTTTGACTATTAGAATATAAGTGAATGTTTGGGTAATTCAAACCTAGGACACTTTTATTTTAATAAACATAATTTACATTAGGCTACAACTCATATGTTATTCGATTTTAAAAATCTAACAATTAAACAAATTTTAAGCTACCCTTAATTTGTATTGATTTATGGTTGCACGACAAGTGTTGAAAGAGTCTTTTCAGCTTTGGATTACATCAAGAACAAGTTTAGAAATCGAATATGTGATCAGTTCGTGAATGATTGTCTAATATGATATACAGAGACAATTTTTTTTGAACAGTGTAGCCCCAAGTGTGTTCTACAATCATTTTTTAATATGAAAACACATCATAAATTTTTTTAAGCGCTATGACTGTATGAGTAAGGTATTTCTTATTTAAATATTATTTATTTTTTAATTATTTTAAAATTATTTGTATTTAATTTATTTTTTAAAAGAGGACACCCCTATGTAAAATTTCTGGGTCCGCCACTGAGCATTGGTGCTTTAATGTACAACTCAAAGTTATACCACAACATTAAATGTATAAGTTTAGGTTGTATCATAAAGCAATTTGTAGCATTATGTTATGGTACAACTTTACAACTTGAAGTTGTACCATCACATAAAGGTACAAGTTCAAGTTATACCATAAAAGAATTTGTACAAAAAGTATAGGTACAATCTGAAGTTGTACAATAACATAAATGTACAATTTTAAGTTGTACCATAAAGACAAAAACCTATAACACCAATACTATATAGAATTGTAAAATTTCTCATTTCCCAGTTTGATGCGGTACGGTTAAAAAAATACATAACCACGTAATCTCAAATAGAAGATGATTAAGAAATGAATACCAGGAATCCAGGACAACAATAATCCTCACGTAAGAAAACCTTCAACGTCCAAACATTAGGCATTACAGCAAAATTACACAACACGAAAAGAAAATGAAGGAAAATCTCTTAATAATCCTAACAATGAAAGAATTCTATGTGTAATCCTTCCCAATTCAATATACTAACCATGGTAGCTAGAAATTTGAAACAGTATTTTTTCTAAATTCAAAAGAGAAGAAAGTAAAGAAGAGCCAAGAGTTCCACAGAAAACAATGGCGTATAAGTTATGTTTTCACATCACAAGATAATCACCCACAAAAGACAGAGAGAATCAGCTTGCTCTCCATGAAAACAAAACATCAAAATATGAAACAGATATTAGAGAGAGCCTTGAAAGGTATTTACAGTTCCCCCCACACCTTTTTCTCTGAATGGTTGGTTTCCTGATCCTCCCAATATCAATCTCCACCATCACTTTCTTCCCCATGGAAAACAGTAACACTGCAAAGACACCCCATTTTTCAATAACATTGAACACCATACCATAATCTGAACAAGCATAGATTGAAGGAAAGTGCTGGGGGGAAAATGTCATCATTACCAAGGTGGTTTCGCCAGAGTTGTGCTTCCGAGCATTGCCATGGGACGAGTCGCCATACGAGCCGCCAGGTCCCCTCCCTGCAACGCCACCCTGTCTCTCTTCCCTCACCATGTTGAAGATGTGAGTGTATCCATCTGCTGATGCCGGGTTGTTCTCGTCCCAGTCCCCAAACTTTGGAACAGCAGCACCCTTATCAGGCTGATTCAAGGACAAGGAACCGACGTTAATGTTTTTAAGTGCAGAACTAATAAAATGATGAAGATTTAAGCTCTCAAATGAAATGGGAAATGAGGGTGGTGAAACTTTACACTCTCGTCGCCTTTTGGTCTCAGTCTTGACCTTCCAGGTGTACTATGACTGCTCTCATGGGAATTCTTCCCTTCCCAGACTGGTGACGGTGCCCCACTGGCACGGCCTCCTGAGATCCTAGCATGAGGATGGAGTGGTGAGCGTTCAAAGCTGTTATCAGACCCAGCACTGTTCCTTGCAGGACGGCTTACTGCTCCTCCTCCTCCTCCACGGCCTCCTCCCGGCCCAGCTCTGCGGGTCCCATTTTCAGGGCGTGCTGGAGAGCCAACGGCCGGTTTGAGTTCACTGGCATCATCCCTGCGGTCGTGTGCTCGTCGAACAACAAGCTGCCCAGCAGCGGGTTCTACTACTGGTTCAGCTTTAACCACTTTAGGTGGAGGAAGCAAATCTGGGTTCTCCATGGGATCATTTGGGTTGATCATCTTCCCACCGGTTCGGCCCTTCCTTGCCTTGTCGAAATATGCGGTGTATGGAACTTGCTCTTCACTTTCCCAGTTGCCAAACTTAGGCACATGCGAACGCTGCTGCTGCTGCTGCTGCTGCAGTTACAAAAAAGTTAACGTCCAGCCCACATTTTGACAAGAAAAGAAAAGGCAGCATCTAATAGAATTAAAAAGAAAGGAGAGAACATAATGTTTCCAGTAATTCAAATTAGCAGCAGAATGAGCAGTGGCAGAGCCCAGTGCTGAATTAAGCTTCTCTGTAACACTTTCAGGCACACAAAAATGATAGGATAGCTCTATCATCAAACGAGTGAGTGGAAACATCGTTCACTTTGTAAGGTAAAAATGAATTAGGAGTGATGGGTTCAACATCTTCGATCACCGAGTATGTCTAATATATGGCATCAGCTAAATTAAACACTAATGCTCCTGCTGAAATCACATTGACTGATGCTTTCCCACAAGCAAGTAGAGGATCATACTAACCTACCAACTGCCAAATGCTAAACCCTCTCATCAGTCAGCAATAGTTTATCTCAGGAAAAGTCAAGGTCGCTGTTATCTTGACCTTTCAGGGCATACTTCCAATACTTATGTCTCATCTAGGATTCTCACTACTCTCACCGATGACTCATTCAAATAGATGCATCACTCTGTCCTCAGTATGTGCAGTAAAGAAATTAACCCAGGAGTTTACAATTGTAATAGACTATAACGAGGGCAAGGATAGACAACATAAGCCATTGTAAGAACTGCAATGTGCAACTGCACTCATGATTGCAACTTCGGATTGGGGCTTCAACTGCCCTACCGCCCCATTAGCATCAAGCGTTCAAGTTGGCACAGAAAGGATCAACCAGAACAAACAAACAAACACAGATAAATGAATATATATCAGAAATTCAGATGATTTGGAAGTCCTTAGGGATCAAGCTCACAAAGTTGTAGGTCATGACTAACAAACCAATCATCTCAAATACCAAGAATGAGCCTCAGTACATCATTGGCTGCACCAATCCCATGTGATGTTTCTACTATAGCTACTTAATTTGAGACAATGGTTTCATCATGGCAATCAAAGAAACATGTTAACCATCCTTTTCAATCACAGCAATGGCATCTCACTCATAGCACCGCGTCTCAGTCGTAGAAAGGCACCAACATATTTGCTAGAAAAACATTATGCATAAGCCTATCTCATTCATGATTAATAACAGCCAAACATAATAATGCATACGTTTACATCATTTTTTCACAAATGTCATAACTTTTATAAAGAGAAGCACACAAAACTACTTTTGGCTGATCACAATCATTGTATCCATAGCATCCCCAGTTCTCAATTAGAAACTTTATTTTCACAGGAGAATCAGTCGGTCCAAGTTAAAGAAGAAAAAAAGTGAGTGATACCATTAACATTGTGGTGATATAATTATCTATACCCCACCTTCAATTTCATTAATCCAACCTCGAATTTCTAAATTAAGCGCCACTCAAACATCAGAGTAAAAAGACCAAATCTTCCTATAATCGGTGTCGTTCCTCCAGAATCACGGGTTGCAGGTTCAACCTAGACAAACTAAGAAACACCCATCTTTGCTTTCCTTAAACCTCAGTACCCATAATTCTCTAATCCTCGCCAATTCCTCGTTCACATAAAGTCGAGTAAACAGTAACAATAAAACCGGAGTTTTGCAAATCAACAACACCACAGCAACATACAAACCGCAATAATTTTTCTATATGCAGCTACAACCTGGGCAGAATCATCATCTTTCAACCTTGAAAAGGCTGCTACCTTCCCAATGAGACAGCCAGGGAAAAGAAAGGAAAAGATGAGCGCAAGCACAGAACTTACCGCCATTTCCTCTTTCTTGTTCTCCTTTCCGGCAAGGTTGGAGCAGAACCCGAAGAGCCCAAAGCTCAACCCTTCAACAAAATCCAACCTCTTCTTCTCGCGGCAATTACGAGCTCAAGAGAGCTCCTGCAAGATGGAAAAAGGAAAACAAGGAAGACTTTTCTAGAGAGAGAGGGCGTTCTAAACCAGGGGGAAAAAGCATAGGGCTGGTTTACAAGGAGAAAGGGAGAAAGAGGGAGGGAGGTATATCAACCATTGACCGGAGCCACCGGTTTAGTTTGACGATTCTTTGGTTTCTTTCTCCTCCCCCAATTCCAAGTCTCCTTCTCGCTGTAAAAAACTAGGGAAGAAAATAAATTAAACCCAAAAGAAACCGAGAGAGAAAGACGAGATCTTTGTAGTTTCCCTCCGCATCGAGCCGTCCTTCTCAAATCACCATCACCAATTTCACCCCCTACCACTGCCAGCGAAGTTTCCACTTCTTCCACCAAGCACGCCATGGGTTTTCTCTATACTACCCATTTTCTCACAGTTGACTCCATAGACAGGAGAGGGTCAACCAATGGAGGGTGGTCAGTTTCTCCGTTTCCCAATGGGGTTAACGGTGACGGGGGAACTGTTAATGGCGGCTTGACCGGACCAACTCCTCCGTCCCGTTAGAAGGGAAGAAGGAAAAAAAAGAGAGAGCGCTGTCGCTGTGGGCTGTGGCTGTGGTTGGTTGTTTTGTATGTGTCAGAGGGGTCGGATACTATGCTAACCCCGGTCCAAGATAGGGTGCATAACCCATGGTTATGCACCCGTGAGTAACCCAACAGGAGCCGTCCATCTGGAGCGGGGAGATCTAACGGCTGGGGTCGGAGCGGGGTGGGGCAGGGGTATTTTTGTCCATTTTTTGAATTTATGTCCTTCGCTCGTTATTCCTTTTTTGTTTATCCTTGGCCGAGCTGGAATTGGATTCATGAGAGAGAATGAGAAGTAAACAGAGCAATCGAGAGTTTTTCTCCGAAGGATCTGTCGATGGCGAGAAGGTTGGTGGAGGACGCGATTCTTAGCTTAATCGGCAGCGGATTTGCGAGTTATAGTTGTTAGAAGGTCTGTGGAGGACGCGATTCTTCTTCTTCTTCTTGCTCGAGGTTTTGGCTCGATTTGTTTGTGTTGAAGTTTCTGCTGGCCGTTGTTTGGTCTCCGTCGAGGTAATTTGTAGTGATAGTAGGATTTCACGTTTGCGGATTGATTCCGTTCTGTAATTTGTTTTTGATGTTGTGTATATATGATTATACCATGCAATACCAGTTTATACCATATATCTGCGTTTTCTCTTTTGTGCTCTCTGTTTTATGTTCTTTGTGATCAATGATCTCATTATGTTTGTATAAGTTTGTTCAGTTGATTGATCCGTAGTTGAATTTATGTTTTGTGCAGGAATTTTTTGAATCTTCTTTGTTGACTGAGCTTTTTTAGTGCAATGAGTGATCTCAATCAAGGCGCCATTGTTTCTTTGAATGAATCTAATACTGGATCTAGTTCTTCTAATAGTATTGTTGAATCGGAAGGTAAGAATTTTAAATGTGTTTGGTAAGTTGATGTTTGTATATATGTTATACCATACAGTACCATACTGGTATTTTATAGTATTTTTGCATATGAGTGTTGTGTTTTATTTTTTGTAGATTGTTTTTATAGTTGTTGTGATTTTATGTTTCTGTATATATGTTTATACCATGCAATACCTTGCAATACCATGTTATACCATATGGTACCAGTGTTTATACCATGTTATACCATACTGGTATACTATGGTATTTTTGCATATGAGTGTTGTGTTTTATTTGTTGTAGATTGTTTTTATAGTTGTTGTGATTTTATGTTTCTGTATATATGTTATACCATACAATACCATGTTATACCATAAGAAACTACACTGGTATTTGTATAGTTTTGATTGTAATAAACTTTACCATATGATACAATGGTGGTATTATAGTTTGTACAGCATTAATGTTTCATTGTTTTTATGTTTTAGGTTTTGATGGTATTGATCCTAATGTTCGAAGTTCCTGGAACAATCTTGAGTTCGCTACAACTGATGATGCATATAGATTTTATGTGGATTATGGGAATTATAAAGGTTTTTGTGTGAGGATTTACCATCAGTCGGCATGTCCGAAGCTTAATAATGGTTCAAATGCGGTTTATTATATCAAGTATTGTTGCAATAAGGAAGGCTGGAGGATTGGTAGTGAGAATAATCCTGCTAATCGTGGTTCTATTGATGCGAAGGCTCGTGTTCGTCATGTTCCAGAAATCAGGGGTGGATGTGATGGTGCCTATATTCGAATTAGGTGGTTTAAGCAGTTCAATTGTTACAAGATTTATAAGTGGTATGATGTGCATAACCATGACATGATTCCTGTGGCTATGCGTCACTACATGAGATCGAATAGGAAAATGGCTCCTGTGTATAAACTGTTGGCAGATGTGAATGATGCTGCTGGTATAGGTGCGACTGCTTCGTATAATGCAATTAGTACAGCTGGTGGTGGTCGGAAGTGTATTGGTTTCACAAGAAATGATTTGAAGAACCACCTGCGGACAGTGAGGACGTCATCAATGGAGCATGGTGATGCAACTGCATTACTAAAACACTTTAGAAGACAAGCTAAGCTGGATCCTGGCTTTTTTCATGAGGTAGAGGTTGATGTGGATGAGAATATTGCTAGTATTTTTTGGGCAGATGGGAAGATGCGGATGGATTATCATTTTTTCGGGGATTCAGTTAGTTTTGATACTACATACAGAACGAATAAAGAGTATCGACCACTAGGTATGTGTTCTTATTTTTATTTGGTATTATGTTGTTACCTGTTAATACTATGGTGGTATTTTGTGGTATTCATTATGTTGTTATCTGTTAATACTATCGTGGTATTTTGTGGTATTCATTTTTTTAACACTGTGTACCACATGGTATGTGCAGCTCTGTTTGTTGGTTTCAACAACCATCATCAACTTACTGTGTTTGGAGCTGCCCTTCTATATGATGAAACAACGGCAACGTTTGAGTGGTTGTTTAATCAGTTTTTGGAATGCATGGGAGGTGTGAGCCCGTTGTCTATCTTTACTGATCAGGCTGCTGCAATTGCTGCTGGTATAAGGTCTGTTTTCCCAAGTTCTTTCCATGGATTGTGTTCATGGCATATCTCACAGAATGCAGTTGTTAATTTGGGATCTTTGTGTGATTCGGATTTCCTTTGTGAGCTTAGCTATTTGATGTACAATGTTGATGATGAGGATGATTTTGAGTATAATTGGAAAAGAATGATAGATAAGTGTTTCCCTGGGAAAGGACCTCTTGGACACAGTTGGTTACAAGGTATTTACAAGGTGAGGGAGAAGTGGTCATCGGCTTGGGTGAATTCTCATTTTGGTGCTGGTATGAAGAGCACCCAGTTAAGCGAGTGTTGCAACAGTAATCTTCGTCATTACTTGCAGTCAGAATTTAGTATTCCTAGATTCTTTGTACATTTTGATAGGATGCTTGATAATAAGAGAGATGCTGAAGAAGAAGAGGAGTACAGAGCACTTTCTACGTTTGCTGATTGTCGCTTTTCAAGCAGTGCTATTGTCAAGCAAGTTGCTGATCTATATACCCCAAAAATATTCCAGCTTTTTCTAGGACAGTACAAAGAATCTCTTTCATACAATGTTTTCCCTAATACAGAGTTAGCTCAAGAAGGGAATGTAAAGATCTTTGATGTCTTTACATTGTTAGCAGACTTGTCAAGGTTTGACAGCAGACTGCTCATAGTTGATTTTGATAATGGTGAAATTAAGTGTACTTGTCGCAAGTGGGAGTCAAGCGGTTTGTTGTGTAAGCATCAATTGAGGGGATATGATTTGTTGTGGTCTACAACTTGCAATGTGAAGTTTCATCACATCCCTTCTAGTTTGATTTTGAAGCGATGGACAAGGACAGCAAAAACTGGTGGGAATTTTGGATTTGCAGTTTCGTCTACTGAGGCTCCGTCAAAGTATCGGTCTCGCCTGTTTAATATTTCAGCTGTTTCTGCTTCGCTTATCAGTAGGGTTTGTTTGAATGATGATTTGTATAAAACAACCATGGATTTCATGAGTGATTTGATCAAGAAGTGTGAAGCTTTACCAACTGTTGAAACAGCTGGTACGGGTGGATCGACCAACTGTGAGAGTAAGTTCCTTGGCCCCCTTTTGTTTGTGTATATGATTTTTGTTATTTTTTTGTCTGCCAAGTTGTTTTACCATGTTGTACCATGTTGTACCATGTGGTATAGTGTGGTTTTCTTAATTGTTTCTGGTAATATGTTGGAATACCATATGGTATTATGTGGTATTGATTGTAGTATGTATTTCTTATTTGTAGGTGATGTTCCAGTTCGAAATGTGAAGGGGTTTAAGCCTAAGAAGGATTCATTTAAGCCTTCGAAACGACCTATTACAGAAGCTGAGATTGGAAGGGCGGCTAGTAGGAAGAAGAAAAAGACTAGCAGATTGGAAGAGGAGAAATTGAAGGCTGTGGAAGAAAGTTTGAAGTTGAAGTTGTGATAGTTGTTTGAAGGCTGTGGAGTTTTATTAGCTGTTGAAGGATGTTGATTTTTATGTGTTTCTTGCATATTTGTTTTGTTTTGAAGTAGTATTGATCTGCACATGTGAAGGACTTAATGTTTAGTGGATGATTTTAACCTTTGATATAATGTTTTTTCTATATGGTGTTGTGTGGTGTTTTTAAAAATGTTTATACCATGTTATACCATATGGTATACTATGGTAAAAACATTTTTATGACTGTAATCTTAGCTAAGTGTTGTGTTCAGTTTAGCATAAAATAGCATGTGGCTTTGTTCTGGTGTATTTAAAAATCCTTATACCATGTTATACCATATAGTATACTATGGTAAAGATCTTTATACCATGTTATACCATATGGTATACTATGGTATAAACATTCTAGATGACTGTAATGTTAGATATGTGATCTGTGATGTGTTCAGTTTCCATAAAATACCATCTATGTTGTTGTGGTGCATTTAAAAACGTTTATACCATGTTATACCATATGGTATACTATGGTATACACATTTTGATGACTGTAATCTTAGATCTGTGACAATAATGAGGGGTAAGATAAAGTACTAGGCTGTTACATAACCATAATAAGAAGTGTTTCAAATGTAAGTTATAACACACCCATAAGAAACACACTGAATACCTTGTTTGTTCTAAAAAGCACACACATAAAAAAAAAACTAGCAAATTGGTTGTCTGCAAAACCATTGTTTTCAGAAGCTGATGTCTATAGTAGATATTGTAACCATACTGATTCTGTCCCCTTCCCTTACTTGCTTTGATTCTTCATAGCACAGTACTTTGTGGCAGCCTTCATTATCCGATCACGCTCCAGGTTGTCTTTATTGAGGATGATATCCAGCATGATACACTCCCTGTCTTCTTTGATCAGATCCATTCTCTTCCAGTCTGATTGCATAAAAGTCTTGTACTTTCCTTCCCAGTGGCGCATCCATCTGATGATGTACAATCCACATGAGCGTTTATCTGGCTGTGTAATCTTCCCCAGATTGAACCAGTCAAACTTTTCCCAGGGGATTTGTCTGTTTCCACCGTACACACTCATGTAGTTGATTGCATAATTGATAACTCTTGCTGCCACTGGTCTGTAAGTCGAGTCAAAGTCTTTGTAGCGGAGACTGTCAAGCACATCAAATCTTGTGTTCTTGATGTTGACACAGATCATGATGTAGTGTTCACCATCACAGTAAGGGAAGAACCACTGCATATAAATGAAGTGAGAATGTTAATGGACAATTATAAATATGTTTTGAGGAATAGTTTTTTGATGTCATACCATATGGTATTTTATGGTATTTGTAGTGTTACTTACAAGGTCATAGTTCTGGAAGCTGAGGTCTTTTGCCCATGGTTTGTCAGAAATATATTCATCCACCTTGTCGAAGTATTGGTCTGCACTTAGTGGAGGTTTGTTGTTTTCTATGTCCAGCTTGCAGTCAGACTGTACATTTGAAATTATGTTAAAGCAATCATATATTCAGGTATGGTAAGTATAGTACATTAAAATATGGACAAACTTACTGCCAAATGACTAGAGAAGAACCACTTGGTGATTTTTCCTGTTTTTGCTTGATCTCTGTTCATCAGATCTCCATACCAGTCCACGACATCATTTGTTATCAGTTGATCTATGTCAACAGATTGCAATGATGACCTTTTGAGCAAGCCTGTTCCATCCTCCCTTCTGAACATTACCTCGTCCCTGTTCAGAAGAGTATACCATATTATACCATGTGGTATTGTTCAACATTATACCATATCATACCATACCATACCATATGTCATTAAGAAATTAATTGATATTAAGAAATTTACTTACTCGGAGACAATTTTGTTGTCTTTGCACCTTATGTACTCAAGAATGTCATTGAAAACTTCATCAGGAGTTGTCTGAGGTGGTGTAACCATCATTGCAATTGGGATTGCATCTAGGGCACCATCCTTTGCTTCAACTGGTTGATTTGCTGCTGATGAGTCCATTCCTGGCATTGGTTGTGAAACTGGTGTACTCAGGTCATCAATGTAAGCAGCCAAGCATGCATTTATCTCCTGTAGCCTCTCCTGGCTGTTCGAGTACAAGCTTGACCATTCAATGAATTGTTTATTCTCCAACTGTTTGCTTGTTTTTTCTTGTGGAGGGGTTGATGTTTTTGCTTTCTTCTCTGGTCCATGGACATTCTTAACCACTATCCTTCTTTTGCGCGGTTCTTCTGGTTGTTGTGATGCTGTTGCTGTGGTGATGTTGACATTTTCTGTTTGTGATGGTGGATTGAATGGGCTGAGGTCAAAAGATGGTATGTCTTTGTCTTTGGTGGTGGCTGTCTTTGGTGGTGCATCTGTGGGTTTTCCTGCAGTCTTTGGTGGTGGCTGTATTGCTTCTTCATCATTGTTCTTCTCCTTTTCTCCCTCCTTTGAAACAAGCACATCTGACTGTGTCTTTTCACTGTCATCTGCTTCCTGATCTTGATTCATTTCACTTGACTTTTCTTGATTTCCTTTTTTGCTGGCCTCCTGGTTCTTCTCAGCAGTTTCAGTAGTATCCTTCTCAGCAGTTTTGTTGGAGAACCATCTTGATTCTTCCTTTTCTTCCATTGTGTTGGTCCAGCTAGATCCACTGTTGTTTGTTGAGAATCATCATTTCCTTCAGATTCAGTGACTGTGGGTTCTTTCCTTTTGTCTGTTTTGAGCTTGTCAAAAAAATGCTGCAGAGTGTCTTGCAGGTTTGCATCTTTTTCTATATCTTCATCATCAGACTCAGCTCCTTCAGTTTGTTCGATAATCAC